TTCCTTTGGGCTGTACAGTTCTATTTTCAATAAATTCAATTTACCTTTCCAAAAAAAAAAAAGAAAAAAAGAAAAGAAAAGAAAGAGATCCTGCAAATTAAAGTAGATATTGTTAATCTCTTGATCCAAAGAGTAAATTGAATAAAAAACCACGAGTATTCTAGGATTAAATACCTCCGATGATGCAACTAATGTCCAGGGGCGGAGCGAGTGTATGCCCGGGGGCACGTGCCCCCGGCTTGTCCCCGCTTATTATGATATATACACTAAATTTATATATTTTTCTATGTATATATGAAAAAATTCATATAATGCCCCCTTAAAATTTTTATTTTCTAAAATTATCTCTTAAATTTTGTATTTCTTCTCTTTTTTATTCTTTAAATTCGTTTAATTTCCTTTAAAAAAAAAAAATCAAATTTTCATTTTTTTTCCCTTTCAAAATTCTCTCATTTTTATTTTCTTTTTAAATTTTTTGTTAACTAATTTATCTTTCTTAAATTACTCATTTATTGACATAGTATTTTGAGTATTTTTTTCTTCTTTATTTCTAGATTTATGAAATCTATATTTATTGTCTAACGTCCTCAACTAAGATACATCAAATTTATCATTTTACACATTAAAAATTATAAAATAAAAAGAACATTTCTTGTAAAATGACAAAACAATCCTCATTAACTAAAACAAAAAAATGAAAAGAAAAGAAAGTGGACATACCAAATATAAATAACCCATTTACATTACCATCGACCCATGAATTTAAAAATGATAAAAAGTCATTTTAGTCACTTTCGTAACAATTATGAAAAAATCCCTCTATATAAATGTGTCCCTCTCATATGAATTTCTAAATTCATTTCTGTCTGTCTGTGTAATATGCATGAAAGCTAAGCTAGTCATGTGCTTATAAATAAATTGTTTGGCCAGATTGATAAGCTCCGCTTACCTTTAGCTGTATAGATGGCAAGAATAGTGTCTGATATGTCCTCCAATATTCTGTGAATAGGGAAGATAAAACAAGGAAATTAGGTCAACTAGACTAAGAACGGTTAATTAATTTTATATTTTTAAAAAGGATTGAAAAAGAAAAAAGAAAAAAAGAAAAATGTCTTTTTTTGTTACCCGCCACCACTAGGAGGTTCTCTCAGTCCATCGGAGAAAATGATGTTACTAGCAAACTTTTGGAGAACCAATTTTACATCCTACATTGAGCCATGGAAAAAGCACTTTATAGCAACTAGTAATTATAAATTAATACAGTATATAATTAACTAGAATAAATATAATAACTATTGGAATGACTTGGACAAATAAATTGAAAGAAAATTAATCAAAAGGACATACATGGCCTCCATAATAGCTTGTGATCCAATGAGGTCTTGGTGTGACGCCATACATGCTCTTGCAGGAGTTGATGAAGTTGGTTAAATTGAAAGGTGAAGCTTGGAACATGGTGCCATCGCAACCACGGCCTATGGGTATCACCAGCTCACTACATGTCAAAAAAATAAATAAATAAATAATAAGCCGTCTTCACATATTTTTGGATCATTTTTTTTTACAACACTTTTTTATTTTTTATTTTTCTTCTAATATTAATCTATTTTAGAAATCTAATGGATTCTAGCAGGGAGAAAAGAATTAGAGAAAATTCTATTTGCTTTATAATTTTTTTTGTATTTTTTGTTTTTGTTTAAATTTGTTTGCTTTTGAAAACTTATTTATGAAAATTTAATTTAAAAAATGCATAATTTTAGAGAATAATTTTTTACTATGTGAGTTACGGTTATTAAAGGCGATACTAAATTTAGTACAGAGGAAGTGTATGATAAGTAGGAACCATGCAACTTACTTGCCATCCCCACCCCGTTTGAGTAGGGTGTCCATTGATATCAGTTGTTTGAGTAGGGTGTCCATTGTTAAGCTAGCATGATAGATTCCCTCCATAAGCAACGACACCGGCAAATATCTGGCCAAGAATATCACTACCTTCAGGCGCTCCATCAATGCCACCACAGATCTGAGTAATTGGATATGTTGGTGGACCATCATATTGAGCTGCCCAAGTAGTTCTTGAGTTCAGACGAACTTCCCAAGAAACTGAACCAATTTGAAAATGTAAAGAAAATTAAACAAAGTAATTAGTGGATATTTATTGAATTAACTAAAACAATATATATATATATATATATATATATATATAGTATATATATAATATTTTACGAGCAAGTCTTGAATCTCAAGCTAAGGATTGAAAGACCATTCGGCTGGGCAGCGACATTATCGATTTCAGACCATGAATTTCTTATAGTCTGGTAAGACTATTCACTGGCTTCCCGCAACATTTCATATCAGCCAACATATATCACCAACTTGAATGTGTCGTCACAGTTGAAAGAGAGAACAATATGGAATTTTGTACCTTGAAATCTTTTGTGACACCCACGGATACGTGTTTTGTGGAGTCAAATCAATGAAGTAAAGGATAGGTGCCGATGAGGCTAGAGCTCCGAGAGCGATGTGGGGATACTTAAGCCGAAACCACGATGCAAGCACTGAAAATTTTGAACTATCAATGTGTCAATTATTTAAATAAAATAAAATAAATAAAAAACCTAATGATTTAAATTATAATTGTGTAATTAATTAATTAATTAATGGTTAATTTGATATACAGTTGCTCAATTACTTCCTCGTTCCTCCATAGGATGCTCCAATGACAACCAGGAGATTCTTGAATAGCTAGTTCGTTCTTAAGGTACATGATTATCTCCGCATCATCTGCTAATGCTTGAGTTGAGTTGAAATAACGCATCATCTGCTAATGCTTGAGTTGAGTTGAAATAACCGCGCGTATTCTCATTATTCATCGCTTCTTCAAATGATCCGAATGGAATTGATGTTCCATAGAACCGATGCTAATCATGAGCAAACAAACATTTCTAAAATTAAATAACAATATTTAATTTGGCTAAATTAAGCTTGTCTTATAGTACTACATACCATAACAACATATAAATTAATTAAACACAAAGAAAGAAATTAAAATAGAGAGGTGTTAACTGGCCGGATTTAGTAGTGTACCTGTATATAGATTAAGAGAGCTTCAAAATGAGGGGCATTATCAGTCGTAAACCCAACTGCAGATATCTGATCATTCAATGGACTCTCAGTGTCATAGCTTTCAGGCCTTTGACTGAAGTGCTCAAGCGTTTGGTTGTAGAAATAGGTTTGGAAGTCTTGTGTGAGTGTTTGAGGTTGTTTTTGGGAGTCTTGTGGGGGAATATACTGAGCCTTAGGTATATTATTAAATGGTGTTGCAGACACACAGAAGATGAGGGCAAGCAAACAAATCCACTGAAATAAAAGTGTGAGCAAGGTCGACATTTTTTTGTACATGTTGAGATGAATGACTGAATGTATCTTTACTTCCATTTGAAGCAAGCCTCAAAGGGAGGTTGTGCTATATATATATATATATATATATATATACATATATATTTGTATGCATTTATAGCACTCTCTAGCTACTTATTTTTGGTTTAGTATACGGATTGACTTTCTAGATATAATGTCAACGCCCCTATTATTTAGATCATTTTGAATTTAATTTTTAATAATATTGGGATTGGATTAGATTTGTGATTTCTATGTACTACAATTTTTGTGGATTGCGTTTCTTTTTTCAGATAGAATATAAATCTAACAACTAGTTAAATCTGTAAATGTAATATCGATCCTATCTTATCATGCAGGGCAGTTTTAAATTCTGGAATTAAGCTGTTTTCTTTTTCCTTTCCCTTCAAATGAAGAATTCTATTTCAGTGCAATTTATTTCCTTTTTAATCATCATATCAGCAGTTGGATTCAAGGTTCATCTTCTTATCTTATACCACAAATCAATTATTTATTTGATGTAGTCCCAAAACAAAACAAATATATAAATAAAAACAATTTAGTTCTGCATATATATTATAGCAGATATCACAGTGATTTCAATATTGTGTATGTGACTGTTTTGTTTATTTACAAATTTTCTAAGAAGGGGTTTATGAGCACCAATTAATTACCACAAAAAAATTAACACAATTTGACAAACTTAATTCCCTCCTCAATTAATTACCACAAAAAATCCACACACATGAAAATTAAGTACCTAAAGTACCACAACAATATCTGAACTAACAAAGTCGTTCAGTTTAATTCACTCTCCATTTGAAACAATAAATTTTTAACGCTCATCATTTTGCTTTAAATTATCTGAAATCCCTAACTTTATTCAATCTACATCTTTGTGGGACATGTATATTATTTCTCTGCTTGTTGAATTTTATCAATCTGTTAGGATTATGGTTCGATATTATTAATTAGTGCTCATGTTGACTAATCAATCGCTTGGAAGCAAATGGTTTTTCTTCACCTTCAAAATTAAAATGTTAATTTTTTTTTTATTAAGTTACATATACATAAAAAGTGGGTTTGTAAGATTCAATAAAAAATAATAATAAAAATAAAAATAAAACATAATTTATATGTACTCAATATATAATAAATAAAATGATAAATAAAATGGTGCTCTCAACATTACTAATTTCCACAACTCAGTTTTAAATAAAAGCGAGTATCAGCTCACAATATTTTTAAAACGAAAAAAAAAAAAAAAAAAAAAGATAAATATTTTATTATTATTATTTTTTGATCCAAAAGAGTATGTAATAGAGTGATAATTGTATTAGTTGACAAAAAATTAAAAATAAATAAATAAAATAAAATAAAAAGTCATTTTTGTTCAATTTGAATATTATTATTATGAAACAATCTTTGGCAATATGAACAAAGGATCAAGTACTCAAATGCTCCACAGAATTATGAGGAATTGCAACTTTAGACCTTATAATGACTTGAGTTGAACACTAATTGTATACATATTTAATTTCCTATTGTGACTTCGACTACAACCCTACTATTACTGAAGTTGCTCAACACTAAAAATGTTCCTACTTTCTGAATGCATTAACATCAGCTACATACTTTCTGATCCATCCTTCAATGGTCTGGATTTCTATCTGCCGTTGATTCACCAACCAATATGGATCACTTTGCTGTGCTAGAACCATGTCTAAACAATGAGATCCTGCAAATTAAACCACATATTGTAAATCCCTTGAAACATTAACCCTATTTTAATCTAGGAGTAAATTGGGTATATATATATATATATATATATATTCTAGGATTAAATTTTTTATTTTACACCTCAAAAATTATAAAACAAAAAGAACATCTCTTGTAAAATGATAATATAATTCTTAATAACAAAAAAAAAAAAAAAAAAAAAAAAGATCTATAAATATAAATATATATATATAATACGAAATAAGAATTACCCATTTTCAGTTCAGGTGGATTTGTGGATTTAAAAAATTTAGGAGAATTAGTTAGGTGGAGATATATATTTTTACAGCTTTTCCTATATTCTATAAGAAGATTTTAAAGCAGTCGGTAAACTTACCAGTGTCACATATTTTCTGACATCAACTATGTATATAAGAGATGTTTGATATAATATTATAGGTTTCTCCTATAATACATAAATGCATATATATATATATATATATATCATCTCCTGCCTCCTTTGTGTATTAATTATGCATATATGCAAGCAATGCTAGTCAGTGTTTTACCTTCAGCTGTATAGATGGCGAGAATAGTGTCTGATATGTCCTCCAAAATCCTGTGATTAGAGAAAATAAAACAGACTAAGAGATGTTTATTAATTTTATCTATTTAAAACGGATTGGAAAAGAAAAATATGTTTTTTTTGTTACCCGGCACCACTAAAAGGATCTCTGAGTCCATTGGAGAAAATGATGTTACTAGCAAACCTTTGGAGAACCAGTTTTATATCCTACATTGAGCCATGGAAAAATCACTTATATAACTACCAATAGTTATATATTAGTATATAATTAACTAGAATAAATATAATAACTATTGGAAGGACTTGAAAAAAAAAAAACAAAAAACATACATGGCCTCCATAATAGGTTGTGACCCAATGAGGTCTTGGTGTGACGCCATACTTGCTCTTGCAGTCGTTGATGAAGTTAGTTGCATTGAAGGGTCTTGGTTGGAACATAGTGTCGTCGCTACCCTGACCCATTGGTGTCACCATCTCACTACATACCTAAATACAAAAAAGATAAATTTAAGCCATCTTCAATTGTATTTTATTTTATTTTTTTTAAAAAATTTTGTTCTACAATTTATAACAATTTTTTATGAAACTTTAATTTAAAAAATGCAATTTTTTTTTTTTTTTTTGAAGCCGGGGTGTCCGGAATGGAACAAACCCTTAACACTTCTCAACAACCCGACTAATTCCCTAGGACCCGGAAGGGCGCTTCCCCATCCGGACCGGGTAAGTCACTGCATGGATAGCAGAGGCTAGTCACAAAGAACATCCAGCGAGACTTGAACCCGAATTTGCTAAGGTTTAAAGTCCAGTAAGTAAACTGTGGGCCATATCCAAAGTGAATAATAATAAATAAATAAATTTTTGAATGTTTGTAAAGAACAATCTGATATGATATGACTCCCACCTCAAATGTCAAAACACAAAAGTAACTACGGAACTTACTTGCCATCCCCACCCCACACCTGTTTCATCAGTAGTTTGTGGACCATTGGTATCACCGCTTGTTTGAGAAGTAGGGTTTCCAATGTCATTAATATAGCATGTTGTATTCCCTATACGAGCAATAACGCCAGCAAATATCCGGCCAAGAATATCAGTTCCTTCAGGTGCTCCATCAATGCCACTACAGATTTGAGTAACTGGATATGTTGGTGGCCCATCATATTGAGCTGCTTTACTATACATATCTTCCAAGTAGTTCTTGAGCTCATACGAATATCCCAAGGGCCTGAGCCAATTTTAAAATCATTTAATTATTATCGGCAAAATTAAACAAAGTAACTAGTGGATATATAGTGAATATTTAACTAACACTATGCTATAAATTTTACGAGCAAGTCTTGAATCTCTGACTCAGGATTGAAAGACCATTCTGCTGAGAAGCGACGTTATCAATTTCAAACCATGAATTTCGTATAGCCTGGTAGCAAGATTCACTGGCTTCCTGCAACAACATTAATTTCATCATGCCTATATGACCGACTTGAATAGGGTCCCTGTTCAAAGAGAAAACAATGGTGAATTTTGTACCTTGAAATCTTTTGTGACACCCACAGGAAACGTGTTTTCTGGACTAATGCCATCAAAGTTAAGGATAGGGGCTGATGAGGCTAGAGCTCCAAGGGCAATGTGGGGATATTTCAGCCGAAACCATGATGCAAGCACTGAAATTTTTTTGAAGTATATATAATGTGGGAATTAATTAGGGAAAAAAATTAATTAATGATGTAAATAAATATGTATATATCATAGTTTGTTGCTTAATTACTTCCTCCATAGGATCCTCCAAAGACAATGACAGGAGATTCTTGAGCGGCAAATTCTTCCTTAACGTACACGATTATTTCTGCATAATCTGCTAATGCTTGGGCTGAGTTGAAATAACCGCGAATAGTAACACTATTCATGACTTCATCAAATGTTCCGAATGGAATTGATTCTCCATAGTACCGATGCTAATGACCAAACAAACATCTTAACGGTAAGAATATTATTAACACCATATTAATTAAAAACTAAGAAGTAAAGATAGAGAGGTACGTGCATGTTGGATTTAGTACATACCTCTATATAGATTAAGAGAGCTTTAAAATGAGCGGCATTATCATTAATAATTCCAGCACTATATGTGATCTGACCATCATCCAATGGAGACTCGGCACCGAAATAAACGAAGATTGGCGAGAACACATTCGGACCACCCCAGTATTTAGAATTGATCACATATTTTTGTTTGAAAATGGCATAGCTTTCAGGCCCGTAATTGAAGTGATCAAGTGTTTGGTTGAAAAAAAAGATTTGGAAGTCTTGTGAGAGTGTTTGTGGTTCTGTTTTGGAGTCTCGTAGGAATGCACTGAGCCTTGGTATATTGTTATTATATGTTGGTGTTGTAGACACAATATTAATGGTAATGGTTGATAAGATGATGGAAAGCAAAGAAACCCACGGATATAAAAGTGTAAGCAAAGTCGACATTGTAATGTACTGTTGAGATGAATGAATGAATGTCTCTTCACTTTCATTTGAAGAAAGCCCCAAAGGTTGTGATATATATATATATATAGATACATACGTGCATTCATAACACTCACAATATGATTTTGAATTAAATTTTTAATAATATTGGGATTTGATTAGATTTGTGATTTCTACATATCACAATTTTTGTGGGTTGAATTTGTTTTTTCAGATAATATGTAAATCTAACATTCAGTTAAAACTGCAAATGTAATTTCCTATCGTATCATTTTAAGTTCTGGAATTAAGCTGTTTGTTTCATTTCCTTTCCCCTCAAATGAAGAATTCTATTTCAGTGCAATTTCTTTACTTTCTAACCATCAGATCAATAGTTGAATTCAAGGTTCATCTTCTTATCTTATACACAAATCAACTATTTATTTGATGTAGTTCCAAAAAACAAAACAAATAAATAAATAAATAACAATTTAATTCTACATATATATTATAGCAGAAATCACAGTGATGTCAATATTGTGTATGTGCCTGTTTTATTTATTTACAAATTTTTTAAGGGGTTTATGAGCACCAAATTAGTACCTTGAAATTAAAACTGAAATAAATTTATTTTAAAATTAAAAATGACACCAAGTCATTTTAATCAATAGAGAAGAATATTATAAAAATTTTAGGTCCAAAAATGTCATTTTTCTTCACTATTGTAAAGGTCCGTAAACATTAGAGGAGTGTTTCCATATTTTTGTTTGTATAATGGAATTGTACAGGAAAAAAAATAATAATAAAATAAATAAATTAGGAGAGATTTCTACGAATTCGTTAAGTAGAGATATTTTTACAGTTTTTCCTATATTCTACAAGAAGATTTTAAAGCAGTCGGTTAACTTACCAGTGTCACATATTTTCTGGCATCAAACTATGTATATGATATTATAGGTTTTTCCTATAATACATAAATGTATATAAATAGATGTATATATATCATCTCCTGCCTCCTTTGTGTATTAATTATGCATATATGCAAGCAACGCTAGTCAGTGTTTGATAGTATTTCTTAACCTTTAAAATTAAAATATTTTTAATTAAGTTACACATGCATAAAGGAAAATTGGGTGTGTGAGATTCAATAAAAATATATATATACATAATTTATTTGTACTCAATATATATAATATGTATATGCAGTGTGAGAAAAGAAAAAAATGATAAATAAAATGGTGCTATCAACATTAGTAATTTCCACAACTCAGCTTTAAATAAAAGAGAGTGCTCACAATCTTTTTAATATATAAGAAACGGTCACTCGGAATATATCTCTACACTTTTTCTTTTTAATATATAAGAAAAGGTCACTCGGAATATATCTCTAGACTTTTTCATAAAAAAAAAAATAAAAAAAAGGATTATTTGTTAAAATGTGTTGTCAGTGCAAAAGGACGCCCAAAACTCCATTTTCTTATAATTTTACCTTTCACAAAATGTATCCAACTATTGGTGCACAATTTGAGTACCCAATTTTCACTCCAAATTTGATAAGATGCTTTTTATCAAAAAGAGTATGTAATCGAGTGATCATTTGTATTAGTTGATTAAAAGGCTTACCGTTAACCAAAAAACAATAAATAAATAAACAAAAACAAAAAAAAATTGTATTAGTCGACAAAAATTAAAACATAAAAAAATTACAAAAAATACTCTTTTTGGTCAATTTTAATATTATTATTATGAGACAATCTTTCGCAATATGAACAAAGGATCCCGTACTCAAATGCTCCACAAAATTACAAAGAATAGCAACTTTAGACCTTACAATGACTTTGAGTTGAACACTAAAGCTTCGTTTGGATACACAGGAGAGAAAAGAAAGGAAAAGATTATGAAAAATAAAAAAATAAAAAAATGATAGTTATAATTTATCTTCATGTTTGGATAGATAGGAGAGAAAAGAAAAATAATAATAATTAAAATTACTATTTTACCCTTTAGTAGGGTAAATCATTTCGGCCACCCCAAAGCCTCCATCTCTATTCTCGTTACTCTCTCTCTCTCTCTCTCTCTGCAACTACTAACTTGTATGTAACGGGTTTTGTTTTATTTTTTATTTTTCCAAATCAACTAACCAAGGTCTGTAATTTATAGGCCCATGGATGATGGTTACCAGAAAAAAGTATATATATATTTTTAGGGCAAATCATTTCAGCCTCCCCAATTGCCTCCATCTCTATTCTCGTTCTCAACTTTGAACTTGCCCCCTCTCTCTCTCTCTGTGCAACTGCAAATTACAAAATCTACAAGAATCAGAAGTTCAAAACCCATATATTTCACTTTATCTATATGTCTACAAGAATCAAATGTAATGACCCGGTCATTTTCCTTCATTTCCTTTTCTCAGATTTTCACGGATATTTTTTTTCCGTTATTCTTTTCCTTTCTGAGTTCAGTTTTTCATCACTTAGTGTTGTTTCGAGTGCTCTGAAATGATTTCCAAGGCTCTTTTCTTTGGATTAACAATTTCCTTTCAGGACCGAGTCATTTCCACATTTTTCTTTTTCGACACTATTCACTTTTCGTCATTTTCCCTATTTTGTCTTTTCCCCGTTTGTCACTTTTTGGTATAACCTCACTTTTCGTGCTCGGAGTTGCTTTTTCACTTCACGTACCTTCATCCTAAGTGGTTTTCACGAAATACGTATCTTTACTTTTGTAAGAAAGTACTCTGATTGCTCCCGATGTTCGTAGGGGCATGGATGCACAGTTTTTCAAAATCTTTTTCTTTTCTTGGGGTGTTTTTCATAAATATCCTTTGAAGAAATTTTATTTCAAGGGTTTTTAAGAAAATATTTTTTGAAGATATTTTTATTCTGAGGCATTAGTGTAGTTTTCAATTTTTGGAGGGGCCATTGTGCAATTAATGAAAATTATTGCAAAAATGCCTCATTTTGAGCCTGGATTGTAACAACCCAGTCATTTGGCTCCCTTTCCTTTTTCTTGAAATTTTACGAATGAATTTTTTTCGTTTAATTTTCTTTTCTAAGCTCTGTTTCGTGTCGCTTAGTGTCATCTCGAGTGCTTAGAATTGGTTTCTGAGACTCTTTCATGTGAATTGAAAACTTCCTTTGAGGACCGAGTCATTTTCGCATTTTTCATTTTTCGGACAGTATGCGCTATTTCGTCTTTTCCCTATTCTGTCATTTTCCCTATTTCGTCTTATCTCTGTTTGTCAGTTTTTGGCACAACCTCACTTTTCATGCTCGGAGTTGGTTTTTGACTTCACGTGCCTTCATCTTGAGTGGTTTCCACGAAATACGTATCTTTACTTTTGCAAGAAAGTACTATGGTTGCTCCCGGTGTCCATAGGGGCATGGATGCAAAGTTGTTTGAAATTATTTTCTTTTCTTGGGGTGTTTTTCGTAAATATCTTTTGAAGATATTTTATTTTAGGGGTTTTTAAGAAAATATTTTTAGAAGATATTTTCATTCTGGGCCATAACTGCAGTTTTCACTTTTTGGAGGGGCTATTGTGCAATTAATGAAAGTTATTGCAAAATGTCTTGTTTTGAGCTTAGATCCTCGTACGGGATTCATTTTCACATTTCTTCGAGTTGTGTACTCTTGGAATTTCCTCCTGGTCGATGTTTTCCAGTTTCAGGGTTTTTGTCCCCAATTTGCGCCAAACTTATTTTGGGCATAACTTTCTGTTCGGGACTCGGTTTTTGACGCCGTTTCTTCCGTTGCTCATATTTTATCATTTTGAATCTTTTTCGTTCACAAAGTTTTTCCATTGAGCGCGTCTGCTCAAATTTTACTTTTTCGGACCCGGCGGGGCCCACTCAGGGCACTCTTTGAGATTCTATAAAAGGGAGGTGAGATATTTCATTTTTCATCTTCTCCCCTCTTCATGCACGACCTGGAGCTCCCATAGCAGCCCAAGGGGTGCTTCCATCTTGTCTCTCCTCTTTTGGTTCACTTTTCTTTGATAGAAAGTCTTCGGCCTTAACTTTGTTGTTCCCCTCGCCGTGCTTACCTTTCCCCCTTATTATAATTCAGTTTTGACCATTTCTTGAGTTTGGTTTTGAGTTCAAGTTATGATTTTCATGGGACTTCTTGCGAATTCTTGTTCACGGTGTTGTCCCCGACAAAACCTCTCGGTATCGTCGAATTCGGAGCACTTTCATTTTGGTAGGCCTTTGGGATTTTCATCTCAAATTGAGGTAGGAGATGTTCTAAGTTTAAATTCTTGTTATATAGCATGCTTGTGATGCTTATACTACTTGTTTGCATGATTAAATATAAAATTTAGAGATTTTATTATTTATTTTTCTTATACGGGATCTAATTTTCCCGGTTGCTCATGACTTGGTTTAAACATGTAGCATGATTTTATATTGCCCCTTGATATGCTCATTGTCGTATATTAAAATTGGAACATTTGAATAAGTATTAAAGATTTTATTTAATATTTATCTTAGGTGAAAGATTAATTCACATGACCATAACTAGCTTGAAATTAATATGTGTTAGCATATTACATTAGGCCTTATCATGCTCTTCAACATAGTTGAAATTGAAAGTAATTGGAGGTGTTTTGAAAATTAGTAATTATTAATTAATTTGATTAATTAATTTGCCCCGAGTGCACTATTCACTCCATTCGAATTCTGACTTGATATTCTTGATCTAGATGCCATATAGCTTCACATATATTTGATTTAGAATATTCGGTGAGGTTTTGAAACCTTTTATTTAATTAAATTCCATGTTTAAGATTTAATCCTCATGGTGATATACAACTTGGAATTGTATTGTGGCATGCTAGAAAATTAAGCTTAGGTATAGTTGTTCACATATATTAAATTGAGATTAATTGCATGAGAATTGGAACTTTTAATTTATATTTAACTTTAGTGAAAGTTTAATTCACATGGTCTTAAATTGAATGAAATAAACTTGTAATATGGTATTACATTAGTTCTTGGCATGCTTTCCAACATAGGTTAATT